CTAGCATTTCGGAACTGGGATTATGCTATGAATAATATTCAGAATTAGTCTGTTTGATAGCCGCTCTGACAAGTTAACGCAAAGAGTCATCTTGTGAGGTAAAATAAACAATAAATATAGGTCTGTTTACCTTCAGTGTAAATAGCGCTGTCGCGTAGGAACTGAACGGAGGAGACGAAGGTTCCAATTAAATAGTTGAATACCAGGAGAATTCGAATCACTTTTCCGAAGAATCCGCTCCGTTCCTTCTTAATGTTAAGCTAGAAACGAAGTGAAAGCGAATATTATCAGCCAGTGTTATTTTTGGGTATAAATAAACTTGAGGACACCCCCCTGAGCCCGCTTTCTGGAGTAAGCATGCTTAGTTTTTAAAAGGAGATCGGCAGCTACGTCTGAGACTGATTTCAGGAAGTTGCGAAAATCCCACCGGGGGGCTCGTTGCTCATGTCTCTAGAGCGGTGAATTTACTTATATCTGGGCAAGTTGCCCACTGAGGCCGTCAACATTGGCACAGCTGGGCCAGACGAATTACCCAAATCTGATTTGGATTCCATTGGGCGAGAGAGGGGCATACAAGCCATGCTTGGCTGGTGCCTGAGCCTACACCTGCTAACTGCTAAATGTGGCATTTTTTGTTGAAAAGTGGTTCAAGAGACTAGACTTTTGTAGTTATTCTCAGAAATTCCCAGCAAGGAGCTGCTCTGAGGAGTTTCAGACTGAAAAAAATTCCAGCAGGCAGTTTATTTAGTCATTTGGTTAGTCGCATTTAATAATTGTGATTGAGTGAGACAACCGATCCAGCTCATCACCTTGGAATAGTTAACAAGGCACTTGTGCAGAATATCTGGATGGATAATACTCCCCAAATTGCTCGGTGCTCCACGATCCTCCGCCTTAATTCTTCTAAACTTTGGTTAAAATTTCAGACAGGTCTATGCCCTGAAAGGAAATATTCCTTCGGGTAAAACGACTGTTTCCATTCAATATACATCCACTCCTCTCTTTGATATAATATTCTCCTTTCCCAAGTGGCCTGTCGGACTACTTATTTCAGCCTAGTAATCCAGCCTGCGGATCACAATGCTATTCGGGTTGGTTACCGATGCTACCACCCTCACTAATTAAGAAAAATACAGAGATATTTTGTAGGAGAAGATACATAAAGGGTACATAAACTGCTTACCTTAATTTGATTTTGAACGCTGCCATCTTTGGATGATACTGAGGCGGGATATACACTGAGAATAACATCCATTCCTGAGAAACCAAAACGGAGATACAGGTAAGAGATGGATATGCAAGTTTATCTTACGCTACACATTACCGAAACTTATACGCTTCCGTAAAGGAATGATTTATGTTATTAAAACACGAAAGCTCAATCGTGGATTAAACTGTAGTAGACCACAGGCAGATGATTGTAACTATTTTAACCCCGGATAAGAATGTGTCCCTAGAATAAAGAAGCCAATTGCCTACTCGGGTAAATTCTAAAGAGGTCTATTGCATTCGTGCTGTTTGCATGGGTAGATGCGAGACAATTCTCTGCACATAAGTTAATGTGTGAAAATGTAAATTATCTGAGCAGGAGAATTGGCTTGTCGACCAAAGTGTGTTATCTTTGTGACATTTCGCACGTGTGGTCGGCTTACTATCGTAAAAGCACGAGTGCAAAAGGATCGATTGCAATGCAAATGTCTTGTCGAGCTAGTCAGCCTTAGATCGACCGATTTTCTCCTTTCGCTACCTTGCAATTAATTTAATGGGATGTTGGTAATGTACACGCCAAACTTATAGTCATGGCGTAAGGATACGAAAGTGAGAAAATAATATTTAAGCGCAATTACTACACTTATATGAACGTTCAGAGCAGCTGTTTCCAATACAAAAGAGCGATTATAGGCTTAGGCCATTGCGATGTGACGTATAAGTAGGAAGTAATATGATAATTAGATGTAACTACTGCACATAGATGGTCGCTGAATCCTTTTACTTCCGAAAGCTGGGTCGGGAATGTCAAAATATTCCAGGAAGTTATTAGTTAAACCAGGGTATAATTTCTCACCATACTAAAATGACCTTTGAACTAGTGATCCGCATCCTGCAAACTGTGATTAGTTGATAATGATAATATAAATTAGGCGATAAACGCTTACTTAAGTCTCTACAACTTTATAGAGACTACTACCAATTGCTTTTCGCTGTGTGACTGACTAGAAGCTTTATGGGAATACACAAGGAAACTTCCTTGCTGCCCTGCAGCCAGGGATAAATCGGTGACGACCATAAGTGGTGCAAGCATTAACCCTACACAGGTATAAAAACTACCTAGTTTATTTAATATGCAAACATGCTCAAACTATTCTTGAACTCACCACTCATTGTGGGACTAGATAGGGTCAGGGTACTGTGAATGGTTGCCTTGTTTAGGTAGAAGGTTTTGTGGAGCGCCCAAACACTCGACGGTGGTATGACTGGCAGACGTTTGCCGACACATTTATAAATGCAGGAATTAACCCTGCACCTATGAATTTGCTGCGTGCGCGGAGCTCAAGGGCGAATGGTCTGAGAAGCACAATAGCGCAATTGACCTATCCACGATCGAGAGCGCAGTCAGGCAGAGGTCATAGCGTGTTCTCTGCAAGTGTGCTCATAGTATTGCAAACAAGCACGATGCCGTCCTTCACGAAGGCTGACTAATGACCCGAACTGTGAAATACCTCTTGAAGATCAGGTGATCGCTTCCTGACAAGACACACACGCACATATGCGCACTTAAGGAGACACAAAAATAAGCCGGCAGGTATGCGCGTTTAAGAAAACTTTGCACCCTTAAAAAATATCTGTGGAATGCAATTCATCTGCCACCTCTTCCTCAGTGCTTAACCTGTCTCCTGGTAGTAACAACGATTACTCCAAAGGGAATAAAAAAGACACAAAAATATATTGTTTTATAAGCAAATGGTAAGGATTATATCACTTTCATCACCTCCCGAAGAGGAACAAGTTCTTGGACCGAGTTGTCCTGATACTGACATTTAAAAAACGTACATTTTTTAAATCTTCAGAGTGTAGGGCTTACTCTTCAGCGGGGCTAGGATTAATGCGGCCAGACCATGCCCGTACACGCGTTCGTTTGCCTGTTGGCCGTTGGTTGGTTGTGGCCTCTCCACTATCGACCAATGGCGAGCCCGCGTCTCCTGTATTCCCTTCGCAGCTGACGTAATTGACGGTAAATTAGCATGATCGTAGGCTTCCCCCTCGTCAGCCGGTGGACTGATTGAGTGTTGGCGCTCGTTCGAAATGTTTTTGGACTCGCGGGCACCTCCCTGAGAAAGCGTGCCACGCCGTTCGTGTGATTATCTATTTTTGCGTGTATCGGCTGTCCTTCCTGCGTAAATTCTTTCTTTTGACCACTGCAAGGATAAGCTATCTAGAGTCTACGGCCACGAACAGCACCCTAACCAGGATTTCGCCTTTGAGAAAGCAAGGACCATCGGTAAATCCAATAATAAAATGGCCAGGTTAGAGTTTGAAAGTTGGTTCTCGACGGATATACTAAACTGAGCCGTTGATTTAAACCCCGCGTACTAGGCCCTCCGCACAAGGATTACGTCCGCTTAAAACATGCGCATAATTGCAGGAGGGGTACCCATTCCTGTGTCAAAACCCCAAAACAAATAACCGAAAATAAACTCACTTTTCCCGCTCCGTCTTTGCCTTGGGCCACTTTTTTGGGCCCTGACAGAATTTGTGGCAGCTAGTAGTATGGCAGATAGTATTGCCAGCAAAAACAAGGGAAACTGGAATGACCATCTTATACCCAGAATCAACTGGTGCAGGACCCGAGCCTTGAACTCGCGACCCGTTGCAGCCACAGCTGTTGTCGGGGCCCAAGAAATGCGGCCCAAAGCAAAGGTGGAGCAGAATAAGTGAGGTCCATTAGCGGTCGGTGAAAGATCATCAAGGAGTGGCAATATCTCACGACCTAAACCGGCAAGACAACGAACTCGTGGTTCGATAAATAGAGCGCAAGACTCTCATAAAAACCTCGCGAGTTCGAGGATCGGGTGGTGCATTACTTTGGTCTGAATATGGCTGGCTGACGACAGCTAATAAACCAGAAATGACCATTCCAGTCTCCTTAGTCTTTGGCGGCAGTATTAGGAATCTAAATGTTAACCGCAACACTAATTGCAACCATATACCCACAGGTAACACTAACCCTACTCAAAACCTTGGTCCTAAAGTTAGTTC